GCTTCCCTGGGCCACACTGGAAGAAGAAGAACTGTCTTGGACCACACTTAAAATACGCGAACATTACCAATTGTTGATGAGCCAAAAAAAAAAAAAAAAAAAACCCCAAAAAACAAACAAAAACCACACTCACACACACACCCCTTATACTTTAGGAAAGTTTATGAATTTGTGTTGGGCTGCATTCAAACCTATCCTGTGCCACAGACTGGACAAGCTTGGTCTATACTCATATGCCTCTATACCAACCTCAGTCATTTAACATATATCTCTCCTGAAAATTCTGATATCAAAGTAAAGAAGCAGTCAGGTGAGGTGGCTCACACCTGCAAACCCAGCAACATAGGAAGACCTTGTCTTTACAAAAAAAATTTTAAAAATTAGCCAGGCATGATAGTGCATGCCTGTGGTCCCAGCTACTCAGGAGGCTGAGGTGGGAGGACTGCTTGAGTCTGAGAGGCTGAGGCTGCAATGAGCTGTGATTGTTCCACTGCATTCCAGCGTAGGCAACAGAGCGAGAACCTGTCTTAAAAAGAACCAAGAAACAAAACAACACAAAACATAAAGAAGTAAAATTGTTATCCTTCCAACCAGAAAGCCAGATAATGAAATATGCTTATCCCAAACCAGGTGTCTGAATCTCCTTACAAGTCTTTAAGGATTTACAACACTCCATTCCTTTAAACTTTTTGTGTTGAAGAACCACAGGAAAGATATAATGCAGAAGAAAAATAGGTCAAGTGAGGGAAATTGCTTTCCAACTGAGATTTGAGACTGAATAGGAAGTAGTTGAATTAAATGGAAGAAAGACAGTTATCATCCATTCATATGCTGCTCTTACGTGAGTTATCAAAGGCAGCTAACTTTTAGCTTACCCCATTAACTAAAGCATTCTAATTTCAAGGTGACACTCCTTTTTTTTTTTTTTTTTAAAAAGTCTTCCCATCTTTTATAATTTAGATCAAAACTAGAGTCCCTTTAAATGGGCTTAATTTTTTCAGTAATGTTAATTTTCAAATAGTGCTCCAAGGAAAATTTGCTGCTATGGCAGGAAAAATAGAGGAATCTGTGAGATCTCTGCTTGTCTCCCAGACACACTCCTTCCTACACTGCATTCTAGATGACAGAGTTAGACATCAGGGAGAAAAGAACACCAGGCTTTTCAAATATAAAAAACAATTCTTATCAATACATAAAGGTTAGTTTTCTCTTTATAGGTCAGATGCCACAGATCAATTCTAAGGTCCCAAAGATCTCCTAGATTTTTAAAGATAATGGAAATTGTACTACCTCAGCCAGTCTGAATGAGGTACTACAATAGGGCGGTGAGGAGCAAAGCCACTTGAATCAGGTGGCCTGGCTTCTTCAGAGTGCCTCAGCGTCCTCCTCTATTAAGGAGAATAAATGGACTGTGCGCAGTGGCTCACGCCTGTAATCCCAGCACTTTAGGAGGCCAAGGCGGGTGGATCACAAGCTCAACAGATCGAGACCATCCTGGTCAACATGGTGAAACCCCATCTCCATTAAAAATACAAAAAATTAGCTGGGCATGGTGGCGCGTGCCTGTAATCCCAGCTACTCAGGAGGCTGAGGCAGGAAAATTGCCTGAATCCAGGAGGCGGAGGTGGCGGTGAGCCGAGATCGCGCCATTGCACTCCAGCTTGGGTAACAAGAGTGAAACTCCGGCTTAAAAAAAAGAAAGGAGAATAAATGAAATAATATATTAAGCACATTAAGCTTAATATATTATTTACATTGGCACATAAACTACGGCTACTATGAAGTTTGGAATCCTTTCACCAGCTGTGGGCTGCTATCTCCACACTAACAGGCTTAGCGACACAACAATACACAGAATGAAAGAGCGCTGTGTTCACCCTATTGCCTCAACCAGGCCTCTCTCTACTCCCAACTCTGAAGTGCAAAGTTTCAGGAGGGCAAGTGGAAAAAAGGGGAGAAAGGTTGTGGGAAAGACAAATAAAAAGTAAAAGAAAACTAACGAGATGGCGTTTGAGATGGCATTTCACTCTTGTCCCCAGGCTGGAGTACAATGGCACCATCTCGGCTCACTGCAACCTCCGCCTCCCAGGTTCAAGCGATTTTGTGAGTGTTCGTAAAGGCTGAATTCTGAAATTGATGTTCACTAAGTTAAGATTTAGTTTGAAAATCACAATTTAAAGAGAATAAACTATTTTCTTAAGCCTTAAGATCTACCCAATCAAAATTCTGCCCTCCAAAGTTAAACAGGCATATGTATAAGCTATTTAAATAACTACATCTAAAATTTTTATAAAGTAACCTTTAAAGGAGTACTGAAATCATGAGTAAACATAAATTGATCTCAAGAAAAAAAATATTGACAATCTCTTTTAAAGAATCTTATTTCCAGAGAGTTTTCCCTAAAGGAGGACAGAATATAAATTTATCCAGACTATATGCTAACCAGATATTGTGGCGTGACCAGAATAATCTCATTAATCATATTACTCATTTTTCCAATGGGCTAGTAGCTAAAGACCATTATCAAATCTGTGAAAGACAAGCCAGAAATTATTCTGTAATTGATCTACCATAGTTACAATTTTAATGTCTATAAAAAAGTCACACATTGTTTTTTTCATGATTTGGTCAGTGGCACTAACTGGCAGGGCCCAGGGGCCTCAGCAAAAGGCACTGGCCATTCCTACAGGTATCCTACAGAAAACAGCAGCGCAGGGAGCCCCTATGATGACTGTTCCTCACCTGCTACCCTCCCAACTCCCCTCAAATCTGCAGACACAGTCCCACATACTCGACTGACTAGTTGAAAACACAGTTGGTCATTATCCAAAAAGACCAAAAACCTAAGAAAAGAGTTCAAATTATCAATCCTCTCTCTTCCTCCATGACTTGTCAGTATCTCTGAAGAAACAGATGACTCAAAAATTGATATCTAAATATCTTCAAAATACTATAGATGACAGAATTACAAAAATAAACATGTTATTATCCCTGTTAATAAGTAATTCGAATCTAAAGAAATTATCACCATACTGAAGGCTTTTTGCAAAGCATTAATCTGCAGGAAACTGTGCCCAAATTTGAAGTCTAAAGTTGACAGGAAAGAATAAATAACCATGCTCAGTCAATAAAATGCAATACTACATATATACAAAAGTCCAACAGTGGATAAGATCCTCATTCGACACCTGACTGATAAAATAAAAAATATTTTTATCTGTTTTAAAGTTTCCCCACTTTCTAGGAGTAGAGAAGACTCTATTATTCCTTAAGTTTAAGGAATCTCTTAAGTTTATCTAAATTTAAAAATTCTAGTAACTTCAACATAATACTAATGTTGCTATTCTATTTATGTAATAATTTGAGCTTATGTTTCCGTGAAACATTGAAGATTTTTGTTTTCTCTTTTCTGCCAACATTCCATATCCATACAATTTACAATATACCTGGGACTGTTATATAAGATCTAGGTCAAGAATGTTTTAATGGGTATGGCACTAAGAAAATCTGATTTCATTGAGAGTATTCACCACAACTAACATAATAAGAACACTATTATTACATGGCTCATTACATACTTGGATTTATGCTGTGAGTCAAATCTCTACTGCAGAACACAACTTCATACAATAAAGTCTTGTGTGTCATCTTTCCCCATCAGCATCTAGAAAGAATGTACTATGTGTATTTAACCAAATATCTGTTTTCTTTTTTTTTTTTTTTTGAGATGGAGTTTCGCTCTTGTCAGCCAGGCTGGAGTGCAATGGCGCGATCTCGGCTCACTGCAACCTCCGCCTCCCGGGTTCAAGCGATTCTCCTATCTCAGCCTCCCGAGTAGCTGGGATTACAGGCGTGTGCCACCGCACCCGGCTAATTTTTTTATTTTTAGTAGAGACTGGGTTTCACCGTGTTAGGATTGTCTCGATCTCCCAACCTCGTGATCCGCCCGCCTAGACGTCCCAAAGCGCTGGGATTACAGGCTTGAGCCACCGCGCCCGGCCAGATCCGTGATTTTTTTACCTTCCACCTGACCTGAGATGGCCATCATACCGGTAGCGGCGGCCATCTTAGAAGAGCAGTGCGCTGCGGAGGCAGCGGGTGGGCTCAGCATTTTTTTTTTTTTTTCACTCTTGTCCCCAGGCTGGAGTACAATGGCACCATGTCGGCTCACCGCAACCTCCGCCTCCCAGATTCAAGCGATTCTCCTACCTCAGCCTCCCGAGTAGCTGGGATTACAGGTGCGTGCCACCACGCCTGGCTTTTTGTATTTTTGGTAGAGACCGGGTTTCACCGTGTTAGCCAGGATAGTCTCGATTTTCCGACCTGGTGATCCGCCCCCCCTCGGCATACCAAAGTGCTGGCATTACACGCATGAGCCACCGCGCCCGGATAAATCGGTGATATTTTTACCTTCCAGCTAACCCGAGGCGGCCATCACACCAGTAGCGGCGGCCATCTTAGAAGAGAGCAGCACGCTGCCTCGTGGGCTCAGCTTTTTTTTTTTTTTTTGAGATGGCGTTTCACTCTTGTCCCCAGGCTGGAGTGCGATGGCGCGATCTCGGCTCACTGCAAACTTCACCTCCCAGGTTCAAGCAATTCTTCTACCTCAGCCTCCCGAGTGGCTGGGATTACAGGTGCGTGCCACCACGCCTGGCTAATTTTTGCCCTTTTAGTAGAGACCAGGTTTCACCGTGTTAGCCAGGATGGTCTCAATCTTCCGACCTCATGATCCACCCACCCCTACCAAAGCGCTGGGATTATTGGCGTGAGCCACCACGCCCTGCCAGATCTGTGATCTTTTACCTTCCACCTGACCCGAGGCGGCCATCACACCGGTAGCGCCGGCCATCTTAGAAGAGCAGCGCGCTGTCCCGTGGGCTCACCGTTTTTTTTTTTTTTTTTTTGAGATGGCGTTTCACTCTTGTCCCCGGGCTAGAGTGCAATAGCGCGATTTTGGCTAACCACAACCTCCACCTCCCAGGTTCAAGCGGTTCTCCTACCTCAGCCTTCCGAGTAGCTGGGATCACAGGTGCGTGCCACCACGCCCGGCTTTTTGTATTTTTAGTAGAGACTGGTTTCACCGTGTTAGCCAGGATGGTCTCGATCTTCCGACCTGATGATCCGCCCGCCTCGACCTTCCAAAGTGCTGGGATTATAGGCGTGAGCCACCGCGCCTGGCTAAATCGGCGATCTTTTTACCTTCCACCTGACCCGAGGCGACCATCACACCGGTAGCGGCGGCCATCTTAGAAGAGCAGTGCGCTACCTCATGGGCTCAGCTTTTCTTCTTCTTCTTTTTTTTTTTTTTTTTTTTTGATGACGTTTCATTCTTGCCCCCAGGCTGGAGTGCAGGTTCGCGATCTTGGCTCACCGCAACCTCCGCCTTCCGCCTTCTGGGTTGAAGCGATTCTCCTACCTCAGCCTCCCGAGTGGCTGGGATTACAGGCGCCTGCCACCACCCGGCTAATTTTTTGTATTTTTAGTAGAGACCGGGTTTCACCATGTTAGCCAGGATGATCTCGTTCCTCTGACCTCGTGATCCTCCCGCCTCGGCCTCCCAAAGTGCTTACAGGTGGGAGCCACCGCTCCTGGCCAGATCGGTGATATTTTTACCTTCCACCTGACCTGAGGCGGCCATCACACCTCACACGGTAGCGGCGGCCGCTATCACAAAGGTAGCGGCAGCCATCTTAGAAGAGCAGCGTGCTACCTTGTGGGCTGTTTTTTGTTTTTTTGAGATGGCGTATCACTCTTGTCCCCAGGCTGGAGTGCAACGGCGCGATCTCTGCTCACTGCAACCTCCACCTCCCAGGTTCAAGCAATTCTCCTACCTCAGCCTCCCGAGTAGCTGGGATTACAGGCACGTATCACCAGGCCCGGCTAATTTTTTGTATTTTTAGGAAAGACTGGGTTTCACGGTCTCCATCTTCCGACCTTGTGATCCGCCCACCTCAGCCTCCCAAAGTGCTGGGATTGCAGGCGTGAACCACTACGCCTGGCCAAGCAAATACCCTAACATTAGCTTCTTTATCAGTTTAAAGCCTCTGTGGCACATTCTAGGAAGAGCAGTAAGTACCATAGCCTCTTAGAGCTCATTCTTTCCAACAACCCACATCAATCGTTTTGTATTATTTTATTCTGCTGATTCTTCCTAACACCTTTTCAGTTTGACCCTATCAGCATGTAAGCATCACCTTACACAGCTGCAACAGTCACAGTTTTAACACCATATCTCCGCTCAAGGAAGTTTCTAATCCACCACTCGATTCATGTCATGCCCACCAACAGACATCAACCATTCCTAAGAAGCCAACAACCAGAAGTTCTACCTGCTAGCCCCAGAGACCCTTCTAAACCTTATTGCTAACACAGAACCTCCATTTACAGCCAGGCCTCTGCACTCATCTAGTCAATAACTATATCCCGTCCCTACTGTGTCTTGGTCATTATGTTACACACTTTACAAAATATTCCCAAACATGGCTTGCCTGTATGTCTCCTTGTAGACTATCCCTTTCAGCCAACCAAACTCTGCCAGTCTTTCAGAGCTCATTTCAAGGGAAGTCTTGCCTACCCACTCCAGCCCGCAGGCCTCTGGGGATGACGAAGCGCTCTTCCTTTCTAAATTTGTTAAAGTCAGTCCTGCTGAACTAAAAAGTGGTATGAAGGGAAAACACTGTCCAATGGCCACATAAGTCTAGGAAATGCTAGGCCAATAAAGGTAAACATATTTCTTTTGCTCCTGGACTTCTCAGGGCATCCAATATTTTGACATGCATCCTTTTATGAGAGGAGATACAGTATACAGCTATATAATGATATATTACCTTCGATTTTTGTTAACTTTTCCGTATGTGTGCGTGGCTTTCTTCACAACATGTATTGCTCTCTCTTTAACAGATTGCCTGGTGCCCATAATTTCTCTTACTATTACTAATAAAACAGCTTGGGAGGGCGGGAAGAAGTTCATGTCCTTCCCTGTGGCCGCTGCGCACAGAAGGCAGTGCAGTGGAATGATAAAGAGCTCAGGCTCTGGCTTCTGGGGACCTAGACACATTTATTAAGGCTTTGCTTTGGGGCAAATTATTCAACTTCCATCAGCTTTCAGCTTCCCCATCTATAAAGTGAGTATAATCACAGTTCCTAACTTACAAGCTGCTGAGGAGGAATGAATGAGATCATACACCCAAACTGCTCAGAAGGCAGTCAGTTAATATTGGCGGCCTTAGGAGACTAATGAAGAAGGTATCAAAATAATCCAAGCTTTTTCCATATGTGAGGGCTTTGAAGTGTACTATCTGAGTTTAAATTCTGGCTTCATCTCCTATAAGCTATAGGATCTTGTGGAAATAACTCCCTTTGCTCATCTATAAAATGGGAATGTTAAATGCAAAGACTTCATAGGAGTGTTGTGAGGATAAATAAGATAAACTCAAGTCCTTGGCACATAAGCACATCATACATGCTCACATTAATTGTAAATGGAGATCTGGTTACCTGAGGGTGCTTTCTAACCTCATCCACTCCCACCTCACAATTCCCAACTGTCCTCAGTGACTCAAATGTACTTGTTCCCACAAATCCATCACCTTCTTCCCTTACTATGCCTCCCTACCAAAAAACCTTGTTTAAGACATCAGCCATGGCCTCCTGAAGAACAAAACCTGTTAAATTCCTTCCCTACACTCTTGGCCCCTCACTCTGCATTTCGTATTTCATAAGTAGTATGAGAAAAAAATACTTGTGCATCTCCCTCTCCCCCACCGTAACTTCTGAACAATTACTGTCCACATCATCTCACAGCAACAGTGGTTGGAACGGTGATACCTGTGCCTGCATTGCCGTTTCCCAGTTTCAGATCTTAGTTTAATTCTCAGTTGCTATTTTAACTTAGGTTTCCCCTGCTTCCTAAAAGAGTAAATAAAAAGAAATTATCTTTGGGAATAAACAGGTAAAACATACCTTTCCAGGCTCAAACCAAGCACTTGATTTGAGTGTGAGAGATCTTATTCTTAATAAGCTAGAAGGCACACATGAAATGAATCAAACAAAGCACATATTCCCAATAACCACCTGGGCACTAAACTGCATCTGGCATTAGTTGGCCACGTCAAAAGACAATCTGCACATTAGTAAAGGACTCAACTTCCTTTACTCAACTGCTCATATGTGAGCAGTTATCCAACTGCTTAGAATAATTCGAGTTGATATTGTGATACTGTAGGTTTGTAGTTCAATCCTTCAGAGAGGGATGTTATAAAAATACAAGAGTATTAATTTTTAAAAGTGTCTGAAGGAGGGAAACAGAGGGTCTTCAGAGTAAACAGTTTGTTTTTATACGAATAGATGCCAGTCACTGTCTACTTCATTTTTATGCAAAAAATTAAAAATTCTGTTACACCAAAAAGGTTCATGAGGAAGTGGAAACTGAGCCACATTAGACCAATCCATCCCACAAGATCTCTGGAAAACTCCAGATGACTCTTTGGGCCATCTGCACTGTGCATGGCCCAGTGATCATATGGGTCTTAGGGCAGCGGTTCTCCAACAACAAAGAGGCAAATAAAGAGGAAAATGGTGGGACAGACAACTCTTAGTTCCTAGACACCCCTTATTTCCTAGAGAAAACATTTAAATCCGCTGGCTTACAAGAGGCATATACTTAAGAAGCTATATTATTGTGCATCCTTAATCACTACTATATTTTAGAAAACCAAAGTCCCAATGCATAGCTGGAACTCAGAGAGACACAGAGCATATTAAGAGTTCAAAATAACAGTGAATGTTGCTTTCCCAAGACCATTTCTTCTGTTGTGGTTTGCAGCCACAGAGGGCTCAGGAGAGTGCGAACAACTATCTGTGCTACAGCAGTGATGTTTTATGGCTGGATGCCCAGATTGTCTAGCTCTGCACACAGCTCTATAGTCTTTTGAGGGCTACAGAGGAGGAATGCATTCTTAACAAACAGCTTTCCATCCCTGCAATAGCTTCTTCATTCTCTGAAAATATTTAAGGCTAAGCAAAGAATTCATTTTTAGAAAAACTCCAAAAATGGAACAAAGGGTATGGATTTTCAGCATGTTTAAACATGTAAAACCTTGTTATATCCCAGGTGGAGATTTTTAAAAATTACATAATTTACTTTTCATTAAATAAACATTTCAAATGCATGATCTGTACAATAGGAAACTGCACCATTATTTTAATCGGGTTATTCAAGCAAGTTCACTGGCAAATATTATATATTTTTCAGTTTCAATATCAGATAATACACTTTCTGCACAAGGTTTTATAGTTATTTTTGACAACCTTTATATTTTTAAGCAATTATATTCCTAAAAAGTTATGTATAAGCTGAAAATTTATAAATGGACTCTACTGTATTAAAGTCTGTTTAAAGAAAGCTTATTGTATATCATTTTGTAATGAAAGCTCTCCTCATGACCATACAATTATTTAAAAGTTCATTTGTTTGATTTTGAATAGTCATAATTAGACTGGGTAAAAGCAAGAAAACCTGTACAATCTACCCTCCTCCAAAAATATGATCCACTTCTCACATGACATTTTGCTGTCCCTACTCAAATCTATGACATCTTCAAACTATTAAGATGTTAAGTATCTTAATTAACTAAAATCCAGTCACCTTCACTGTGAAACCAGTTATCATGCAAGACAGACTAAAGACTGTGCCACCAACACTTCAAAATATTTCCTTACTTCTCACCTAAAAATATTTGAAGACCCTTCGAGATAGAGCTGGAGAAAAGGTAAAAATCCATTTGTCTTAAAATCATGAGAAAGAAGCCAAAACAATTTCAATCAAAGATAACAAAAACAAAACAGACAGACACAAATAAAGTTACCTGGTTCTTCCCGGCTTATACAGACCCTTTCCTGCTCTGCCTGTTCAGGACTCCGCCTTCTGTTCCCTCAACCTATCCTTCTAGCTCCCAAGGACGTCTATAAATCTGTCCCTGTCTCCTTCTCTCCATTTCTCAAGCTTTTCCCACAGGCTTCAGCTGCTCTTTGCTTGCTCTATCCCCAAATCTTAATTGTCTTTCATGTTTTACTTTGGTAAATGGGACAATCTAGAGTTCACAGCCAATTTTCTTTCTTATAAAATCTCAAATATCACCTTTGCACAATGATAGGCAAAAATCCTGACTGAATGATAAACAGTCATCCAAAGCATAAGCATGCAATCTAATGCTCCAATTCCTACTGCAGAAGGCCCAAAACAACCCCTCCTAATAGTCTTTAAAATGGTTCTTCAATCTTAAAAGGTTAGTGAGCTTCTATGACAAAAAAAGATACTCTATATACTCAAATCAAACAATAAATGAACTAACTTTCATCATAGTCTTTAAAAAAAAAAAAAGTCAAGTTAGCAACACCCTCCTGGGTCAAGCAAGGCTCAGTTACGATCAGGACCTCATCCCCTTCACTTGGGGTTGGAGAGGTGATGTAAATACGCCATTCCCAGCTGCTACTGCAGGAACTGTGTCTTCCATTTTACTCCAAACTGAAAGCTCTCTTCACTAAGGAGAAAGGCTTCCCTCCTCCAGACCTGACCTCCTCCTCTGGCTAGGTTTTAGAAGCCAAACGACAGCATTTGGAAAAGCAAAAATTTATCTCAGGAAAGCCAGCTGTTTAACAAAAAGGCAGTGGTAGTTGTGATGAAAAATATTGTAATTTAGTTTCATATATCCCCAGTATGACTTAATTATTTTTTAAATCATTGAATGTCAAATGAAACAGTTCATTCCACTCTACCTTCATTATAATCAGCATTCTAAGGGCAACTATTTACTCTGAAGTTCCTAAGCCAATTAAACATAAACGTAAACCTGTTACAACAAAATAATCTTTGTTAGTGTTAAGCATATGCTACTTGAAAAAAAAAAAGCAATAAACACTGTAAGGATGAGTATCTAAAATCAACATTTACATATACTCCAGATTACTAACAGAATATTTAAATGCCAGAATCTTTTAAACTGTTAAGATTAAACTTTATGACAGTCTCTGTTTCAACTGTATTTAATATCATACCTTAAAAGTAAAACCGGCCGGGCGAGGTGGCTCACACCTGTAATCCCAGTACTTTGAGAGGCAGAGGCGGATGGATAACCTAAGGTCAGGAGTTTGAGACCAGCCTGACCAACAGGGCGAAACCCCGACTCTTCTAAAAATACAAAAATTAGCCAGGTGTGGTGGCAGGCACCTATAATCCCAACTAGTAGGGAGGCTGAGGCAGAAGAATTGCCTGAACCCTGGAGGCAGAGGCTGCAGTGAGCAGAGATCACACCATTGCATGCCAGCCTGGGCAACAAGAGCAAAACTCCATCTCAAAAAAACAAAAGTAAAACCGAAGTAAGGTCAGCAAGGTCTTTGTTTTGGACAAGAAGCACAGAAGAGTTACAAACAGGCTTTTAAAATCAGATCCTTATAATAAAATCGAGTGTGTGTTTACTGTTACCATTTTCTGTGCTATCAATTTCTGACTATGTCTATTGTCAGATCATGAGAAATCTGTATGAAAACCAGATTCCAAGAATGTCTATTCTTATGAAAATAAATATTAAAAACTTTCCATAGGAAAAAAACTTTCAGTATAGGTAAACAGTTACAACTGTTCACATCATTACTTTGTTCTATTAACACAAACAAAATTAATTCAGACAATATAACTAGTCATTTTAAAAACCTTACTTTGCATTATTTTCCTCAACAAAGCATCCTAGGGGTGCCATAGTGAAAAATGTTCAAAGACCATTGCCACCTCTGTTGCTCTCGAACAATGTACATTCCTCAAGGTGCCCTCTACCAACCAAGTTCATCTGGCCTGGGGCTAAGTTTTGTCATTTATTCTTTCACACAGTACTGAAGGAAATCTGAAATCTATGAATGTAATTGTCAGCATCCGTACACATTTCAAACCAGCTACCACTGTCCTCTGAAATCACTCAAGCCAGGTTTCCAGGGTCTCAACTCATTCGCATAGTTATTCAATTCTAACTGCAGGCAATAACTGGCATAAAATAAGCCTTGCACAGGGTCAAATTACACGCAGGGATGCACAAGGCTCTCGCAGCGACCATCAATGGGCTACCTTGTACTGGCCGAAGTACATCAACGTGAACACCAGATACTCCAGAAAAACCGAACCTCGGCTACACAATGGATTAACCCAGTCAGGAGGCTCCAATTTGCAACTCCTCAAAAACGCTTAAGTTGGACATCTACAGAGCACCATTTTGAGTTTAGAATCCTCAGTTCACGCCTAGAAATAACCGAGCGGACCACTCAAATGGAGGTTTCATTTGGCGGAGGCAAAGGTTTGAGACAACTCCACTAATTACGTGCAGAATCACCAACACCGTCAAATGCCTTCGAAGGCACTAGGCGCAGCCACGATCTAGCGGCTCCTCCGCCCCTACCTCCCGGCACCACATCCAAGCAGCATGCCTTCATTTTTGCTACGATCTCCAAAGCTCTGTGTAACACGCACGCCAGTGATTTCTTCGCCAGGTTAACACGCAGGAAGCCCCCCCCCCACACACACACATTCACATCTACATATTTTCATAGCTACCAGCCAACTAGTTAAATCTCGTCCGCAAGGTAAAGGTGAGAAGAAGGCATCGCTTAAAGCAGAGGTGGCGACCAGGCGCTCGGGTTGCGTTATCAGATAACAGGGCACAAGTGGCTCGGCTCGTTTTCCTCTAACGCATGACTCCGCAGTCCGCGGCACCGTTAGAAAATCCACCTGATTTCAGACCCACAGAGCGCCCAGGGGTCCTTCTCCGCCAACCCGCAGCACGCCCCGGTTTCTCTCGTCCCCCAAACAACGACACTGAGCTCCTGCGCCGAAACGCGGCGGGCTCGTGCCTGCCATCGTCAATGCAAAACCTGCGGGTGGCTGCCGGGAGAGGACCGAATTTCACCGCCGCTTGAGTTTTAAAGAGGAGGGGGCACATCCATCCTCAGCCCTCCATTCCGCTCCCGTCTGATTGTGCTGCACGCCGGCCGTCTGCACAGCCCAGTCTCACACTCGCGCACACGCGCCCCGGCCCCGGCCGCTTCCCGCCGCTCCCCTCCAAACCCGGCCGGCCGGGGGCCCGGCGCCGCACGCGGGTCGCTCGGGGCCAGCGCCCGCCCCGGCTCCCCTCGGCCGAACAAAGGGCCCGCGAACCTCCGGGCAAAGTTGCGGCGGCGGCGAGGAGCCAACGGGCGGCCACGCTCACCTGGGCTCCGTCCCGGGCAGTGGCGGCGGCGGCTCCGCGGGGCTCCGGCGACGCGGGCCTGGCGGCGGCGGAGACAGCAACACGAACAACCGCCCAAGGGCCTCGGGGGTGCGCGGGCGGCGGGGGCTCGCTCAGCGCCGGCGCCGCGGGCTCAGGTCCCGGCGCGGGCGGCGGCGGCGGCGGCGGCGGCGCGGGCGGGTGGGCGGCGGCGCGTCTCGGCAGGTCCAGGTCCGGCCCCAGCGACGCCGCGACGCGTCCTCCTCACGCCCGGCGGGACGAGGCTCCGGCGCGGCCCGGGTCCTAGGCGGCGGCGGTGGCAGCTGCGGATGGCTGGGCGAGGGGCCGCTCCGCTCCCTCCGCCTCCGGCTCGGGCGGGCCCGCGGCGGCGGCTGCGGTGAGGGCGGCGGGAGCGCGGCGGGCGCGGGGACAGCCCTGTCAGGGGGCGGCCCGGGCGGCGCTCAAGGCTGCGCGGCGGCGGGGCCGACGGCGGCGGCTGCTGGTCCCGGGGCCGTCGCTCTGAGGTGCGGAGCTGCCACCGCGGCCATCTTGTTGCTCTAACTGACAAGAACCCCCCACCCCCCGCTACAGCCAGACGGGGCGCTCGCGCCCCCTTCCCCGCCCCACGTTGGCCTCCAACAGGAAGTCGTCCCGGCCCCTGGCACGTGACTCCCACTGCATCTGCATACCGGAGGGCGAATTGGCCAATTGGCGCTCGGCGCTTGAGCTCCTCCCCCGCGCGCCCCTCCCCGGTCCATTGGCTCTTCGGCCAGGCCACGCCTCCTCCTTGCCACCTTAATACCCACCCGCCCGCGCTGTGGTTGCCTACACCGCGCAGGGAGCGCGCCGGGGTGCGAGCGGCGCGTTCTCCGCCTGTCCCGGAGGCGCGCCAGTCCTGGGAGCTCGCTCTACTCTGTGGGGTGCGTGGAGACCCGCGTGGTGTCCTTCGCCGCCTCCGCCTGCCCTCTGGTCCCTGGGCGCTGTGGCTCCGCGTTAAGGGTACTGGCGGGAGGGGCGCCGACCGGGATCTGCGCCTCCGCTGGGTTCTCCCGGCCAGCGCCCTGCGGCGCCCGGGCTTTGCGCTGTTATTTCGCCTAGCGGCGTTGGCATTCTCTGCGACGGCGCCCGGCGCCCGCACCGGCGCGCGTCCCGCTCGTGCAGTGCACACGCCCCGCACTGCCCCACCTTCCACACACACGCACACGAGTCCGTAGGGTCCCCGGAGCCTCCTGCTCACCCCGCGCCTGCCGGCCCGCCCTTGCGCGCAGTCGCTCCCCAGGGAGCGCCCAGCTGCGAGCAAAACAAGCCTCGCCGCAAAACAGTGCCCCGGGGAGTCCGCCCTTTCCCCGGAGCACAGACACCCTTCCCCCACCGCGCGAGCCTTCTGTCCGGGCCGAACCCGGTCGCTCCGGCCCCTACGCACCCCGCGATTCCTCCCCGGTGCTCGGGGCGCCGCCGTGATCCTCCATTCCACGGCTCCTCCTCGATATCCATTATTCATTAGTGGTAGGTGAGGTCACGCTCAATGTGCAATTCGAAAAGTCCGTTTTTAACTTTCGGTTCGAGCCAGGAGAAGATTTTGAAACCAAGAATTCTCTCCATTTTCATGCAAGGTCGCAGAAGCAGGCTAGCTTTTCCCCCATCGCTCGGAGGAGGTTCAGCGGTGCTACTTGGAAGTTGTTATTGGAAGAGGCCATTCCCTGTCTACGTGTCCCCGTCTTGAAGAGGAGATAATAACACACTAGTACTTTCGCAATGCAATTTTGTTACCGCAAGTGTCATGCTTTGAAACGTCTGTGGATGAAAGACAAATTCCTCGCTCTCGTTTCCCTTCGGGGTCCCATGAGCTCCTTTCTTCTTACTGCCGTATTTTCAGCCCTCTGGTAGTTAGATTCACAAGGGTCGTCAAATGTCTGCTGTGTTGTGTATTTCCCCTCCCAAGAACCCACATCCCTTAGAAGGATCTGAAGGCAGACGGAGCTGGCATGGAGGCTTCTTCTGCCTGTTCATTTTATGTGCATTCATTTAATTCTCGACTGCGGAGAACCTGCCTCCTTTGTATTTCTCCAAGGTAGAGGTATTATCACATGTTCCAGAAGGGAGTGCAAAATAACATCGTCACAACAGGCAGCGCCCACGAAGTAGGCTGCTACGTAAATGAGGACTCCAGGTATCTTGGTGGACCAATCCTTGTGATAAGCAGAACTTCACTTTTTGGAAAACTGAACCAAGATACATTATTTAGCATTGTCTTTGACTTTGGAGTTGTGGTTCTCACCTCTCCAGTTCCTCTCCGCTTCCCTTTATCCCTCAGGCAAAAATCGTCCTATTCTCCAATGATACTAGACTCTGAGCACCGAGAAGCAGAACTCTAGATGTTATATGTTCTGAACCCCAAACCGGACTCATAGTTTGGCATGTGGACCTGGGGCAATAGAGAGAATATTTGAAACTGAAGCTGACCCAGAGACATTGAGGCATATGGTGGCCATGAATCTTAAGACTGCAGAGCAGCGTCACTAATTAGCGGTCGTTTGCACTGATAAAATACGAGTAGGAACGCCAAGCAAAACTGTAAAATGGGTCCATTCATGTTTGGGGTTGATCATCCTCTTATTAGCCCTGCCACCACCACCTTATAACTAAGGTATAAATTGACCATCTATTAAAAATGGGCAAAACCAACAAAATTATGTTTACGAGAATTCAATGTTAAATGTATCTCTTAAGTTAAAATGTCAGCTAATTGAGGACAAATGAAGAAGACCTAGCTGGAGACAAGGTCATGTAAAAAATTCTAGTTTTAGATGACCACATGCTCAACAAAGCTAAATGTGTGAAATGGTTTGTTTAAAACAATAACAACAATAACAACACCACATTACAATAGTGTCCAGTTTGGCTGGGTGCACTGGCTGATGCTTGTAATCTCAGCACTTTGGGAGGCCGAGGTGGGCAGATCACCTGAGGTTGGGAGTTTGAGAGCAGGCTAGCCAACATGGTGAAATCCCATCTACTAAAAATACAAAAATTAGCCGGCGTAGTGGCAGGTGCCTGTAATCCCAGCTATCTAGGAGGGTGAGGCAGGAGGATCACTTGAGCCTGGGAGGCAGAGGTTGCAGTGAGTTGAGACTGTGCCATTGCACTCCAGCCTGGGCAACAAAAGCGAAACTCCGTCTCAAAAATAAATAAATAAATAAAATAGTGTTGAGTTTAAGATATTGTACTCTGAGCTGGCCAGATCCCAAATGGAGTATTTTGGCCAGTTCTGGGCACTATGGTGCGAGAAAGAAATTGACAAAGTTAGAGACTGACTGGGTATACAGCCAGTTGTTGGTGGAAATCCTCCAGTCTTTGACCAACAGCTGAAGCAGCAGAAGAGATTGGGGCAGGGAAGAAGAGACAAGGAGGACAGGAAGGCTGTCTTCAGATATTTTTAAAACTCCCATATACAAATAGGCACAGATATATTCCGTGAGATCCTAAGAGGCCAACCTGAGATCAGTGGGTGGTAGGCATTAGGCAAATTTTGGTTCTCTTCAAGTATACGCTACACCCTACAAAATCGAGTTTCTATCAAATGGAGTTATTAATAGACACTCCATTTTGGAGGGTGCAGCGTATACTGCTCGGGTGATGGGGGCACCAAAATCTCACAAATCACCACTAAAGAACTTACTCGTTTAACCAAACACCATCTGTACCCCAACAAGCTATAAAAACATCTCCATTTGAAAGGTAGCAAGATCCACATCTGTGCAGGGGTTTAAGCGGAAAGACAGGATGATCACATCCCTGTCTCCATGGCTATTGCAAAACAGATGACTGTGGTGAGCCAAAGTGTTGACTAGCTCAGCGGTTCCCAGATTATGTTGCCTGGACCAGTGGCATTGGCTTCATCTAGGAGCTTGTTAGAATTGTGACTTCTCAGACTCTACTGTCAGACCCAGTGAATCAGAACGTTTGGGGATGCGGCCCAGGTATCTGCATCTTAGCCACCCCTCCAGGCGATTCTGAGGTGCACAAAAACTGGAGAAGAGTAATAAAGGCACCTTTTTGGGGGGCTGTATTTACGTATAATACCCCTCTCGATGCCCAGCCACTTCCTACCACACACTGGTGCCTGAATTACTGCATCCTCCTATTTCTGTTGATTTTACATGTATAATTTGCATCCTAATGACGGACTCTTAAAGGGAAAAGCTTCGGGACTCCAACACATGATTGCTTTTCAATGAAAATGTAAGAAAGCTGGGTTCAGCTCTCCCTGCTTGTCACCGAT